TGGTTAATTTTGGTTAGACATAAACAGGTTCGTGTTTGTAAGTTCAGTTTATATTCCTCAGTTTGAGCAATTATAATTTATATTCTACTTCCTGAGTTTATAATTATTGGTTATTGGTTGAGTTAGTTGAAAATTGGGCACCAACCATAACAAGTGGTATCAGAGCAGCTACGTTGTAGCAGAAATCCCTCTATAAATCTTGATTCCGAGCTCAGAAAATAATCAAACGAACACCGGTTTACCTTGACTCGACCCAAGATTTTTGCCTTCACTTTGGACTGCTCTCTTTCTCTCTAACCCCACAAAGGAGAACGGTGGTGATGTTAGCAATCCACAAAAGTATGGAGAGGAAGAAGGAGACATCATAATGGTTGAATCTTACTCACAACCTCACATAGCTTTCCTTTCTCTTGGCTGCCTCTCTTTTCTTAACTCTCCTCTCTATTACTACAATACACACACCCCAAAACAGTTGGGAGATAAATACATATATATAGGTTAGTTTATGTCACCAAAGATGGGCTAAGAGATCTCTAAGTGGCATACCATATAACCTAAACTAATGGGCCAATTTTCAACTCTATATTAATCACTAAATGGTCTAACTAACAAAATAATCATCCAACCCAAACCCGAGTCATCCAAAAGTGTAGTTCGTCTTCGAGCCGAGCCAAGTTCATGGTGTCGATAAATAATTCGACAATTATTTTAAATCATCGCCCAGATTATTGGGTATCAAAAAATCCAACAATCTCCACCTTGATGCCCAATAATCCGCAAGCAACCAAAACACACAGTTTATACTTGCGCAATCAAGGCAATCCAATAAAATTGGAATAACAGACTTTACCTCGTGTTTCGAACCGAAACATATACCATACTTGCTCCAGTACACCAAGGCTAAGGTCAAGAACACCCAAGTAGAAACAAGTATTCATAGTGAACAAACAATCATGCGATAAAGATATATAGGATAACACACACAGAGATCTTTCCAAATCACATTCACACAGAACCACAAATTAACACCTAGTTAATCAACACACGGTCATGCGCATATGTAACAAATGCATAAATGAGCCCACGCAAGATCTCACCACACTTATCCTATCCCATTTCGTGTTACTCCCACCTCGAGAACACATCTCCTCTCATCGTCCATCATACTCACTAAACCAATCACTCAAATCATATCTAATTGGCAAGTCACAATAGATCCTAAACTCTCGGGATAATCCTCTATCACCACATCACTCCTCCCAACCTACAAGGATAATGGGACTCCATCTTACAGAAGTGATAGAAGTACCTCTCTCACACTCTACCTGTACATGGTCTTTTTTACAGATAAATGATTCTACACATTTGATCACATCTCCACTCGTGATCCAAATGTCACACTCTACATTCCCCGTGCATATCACTAATGCACCTCTAGGCATCTATACTCTATCTTACCAAAAGACATACAACTCACTGCTAATGCATCTCAATCTCACTATGGCAAATCAACACCTTTCGATGACCACAAAGGTTCTTCAATAACCAAAGCTCCAAAAATCCACAAAGAAAACGACGAAGGTGGCACTCACAAAGAAAAATCGAAGAAAGAGTCGGTTACTTCACAACACTCACAAACAAGGCTCATAAAAATAAAGAATGTAACCTTAACATGACTGCCTCACATAATCTCACAAACCATACAGGCTCACAAAGATAAAGGAGAGAAGCGGCTGCCCAACTTTCTTCTCACTACCACACTCTCACACCACTCACAGAGCAAATAGAGTGAGCCACAAAACTTAACCCACTACGCATGTAAACATATTACACAAAGTAATAAGTCACTCTAATTCATACAATTACACACATCAAGCATATTGAAAGTGTAAAATCAACATTGCAACAGAATTAAGTGACCACATACATGCAGAAAGGATTACACACAGATGCAATGTAAGAACCAGGTTTATTCTCTCAATAAACCTCACTTGGATCACTACTCGACCCTAAAGTCACATTCGCCTCGTCTCTATTCTCATCTTTCATTTTATTATCATTCTAGGACAATTTCTTTCAACTATGCCCAAATTTTACCACAGTTAAAATGTATTTTATTTTTCGCACTTGTCTTAAACCTATACATGTCAATAATACCAAATAATGACCACAAGCAAAGTATTGACACAGAATAGTCAAGTAAACTTTTTTAAGGTCACATGCAATTCTATTGGTATAGAAAAATTGGTGACAAATTCACATAAAATTTAAGACAATTAGTTAACATATAATTTCTAGGTCTAGCAACAGACAATGGTTACCCCTTCACAGTAACCCCAAACCTAACGTCATCCTACATGATGACTTCTAATGCGAAAAATAAATAATTACCATAACAATATTTTAACTACAATAATAAAAGGTAAAGAACATGATATCGAGCGGATTACGTCTGAAGGTCCGTAAATATCGAGAGACGTGAATTCACTACTTTAGAGTTATAGGGTCAAATTCCAGCAATAACCAAGGTAAACCGAGCTCAGTTTTCACAATAAATCGACACAACCGCCGGTTGAGACGACACCCAAATCCACCTCCTTTGTTCCCACCTCCGGTTGCTATATATATACTCACAAAGAGTTGGCCAAGATAAAGAACAATTGATTGCCCACAAGAAACTACATAGGTTATATGAGAAGAAGAAATCGAGAATCAAAGTCACAGATAGAGATGGAGTATTCTTCATAGTGGAGGCGAAGAGGGGCCGAAGAATATAAGCCAAATGAGTGACCAAAAATGGTAAGTTAGATTAGGTTAATTTAGTGGTCGAAACAAGGCTCAACACAAGGTAATGTGCTCCAAATTAATACCATAGCCCTCTAAGAAAGTGGGACAAACCATGAGCAACACTATTAAAAATAGGTTGCTTCTAACAGTCTATAGAGATGTGGGTTGGGTTGTCTCGACAATAGTGTCGACATATAAATCAATCATATGACCAAGACCGATTGATAATAAATGAAATCGAGGTTACATCATTGCCGAGGGGTCATTTAACAACAAATTGCCTAACAATTGATTGCCCACAAGAAACCACATAGGTTATATGAGGAGAAGAAATCGAGAATCAAAGTCACAGAGAGAGATGGAGTATTCTTCATCTTGGCCAACTCTTTGAGAGTATATATATAGCAAGAGGTGGGAACAAAGGAGGTGGATTTGGGTGTTGTCTCAACTAACAGTTGTGTCGATATATTGTGGAAACTAAGCCCGGTTTACCTTGGTTATTGCTGGAATTTGACCCTACATACGTGATCTGGGTATGGCTGAGTTTAGAAGCAATTTAAATGAAGATCATTTGAAAATGTTACGTAGAAAAGTATCGGATATGGGTGTGGTTGCAAAATCATCCAAGTAGAAGTTGAAAGGGATATGTAATAAACAGGATCAGATGGAACAAATGATGGGTGAGATGAAGGCTATTCAAGAATTAATGGTGCTAATGCTAGCTCAGCTAACTGGTAATAAGGCTAATTAGAAGGAGAAACAAGTAGAAAAATTTGAGTCACCATCCTTGACTAATGACGGCAGTATTAGGGGAAATGAAGTTCATCTTAATAATTGCAGTAATGAAATTCATTCTAGTAACTCTAAAAAAAATAGAGAAGCTGTGATGGATTTTCCACATTTTGGAGGAGAAGGACCTAGGGAATGGCTAAGGGAAGCTAGAAACTACTTCCAACTCTATCAGATTTATGATGAACTAAGGCTAGGAATGGCCAAGGAATACTTGGAAGGAAGGGCTTGCGTATGGTTTTATGGATTCATTGCAAGCCATCCTAAAGCAGATTGGGGAATGTTCTCCGAAGAGTTGTGCAAGAGGTTTGCTGAAAATACCAAGGACGAAGTATGTATTGAGGAAAAATCCCAAAATAATGATGGTTCAGAAATTTTATTGGATGATCGTGAAAATGAGATAAAAGAATTGGTGTTAGTGGCTGATAAAGATTAGAAACAGTGGCTGTGAAGGAGGAATCAGGGGCATTAGATGCTAAAACTGAGATAGAAACAGAGATTGAGCTAGAGATAGAGATAGGTGAGAGAAAGAAGTTTGAAAATGAGGAAGTAGAGCGGGTTGAGCCATTGGAATTTCAAATAGTGGAAAGCAATACAAAGGTATCGACAGTTGATGTTATAGACTGGAAGGAGAAGGTTGCTAACGAAGTAACTATAGAGGATATTTCGACCTTCAAAACCAAAATAGAGTTTGGTAGTCCAATTCCAACTAGACCAACAATTTGGTTATAATATCAACTAGACATATGCCACCTTGCACTACTTGCTTAATCTAAGAACGGTGAAGAGAATGAGGCAACTAACAACATACAAAGAAGGTATCCCGACTTTGAACCTTAAGGACAAGGTTAATTTAAGGGGAAGGGATGTTATGGATTGGGCATTTGCTTTTATTTTTCTAGTTGGGCTTGTATAATGGGCTAGTTCAATCCCTTTAGATTGTTTTGTTCTACATATAGATTGCTTAGAAGACAAAGAGGAAAATGTTGAATGGAAATTAGCCATTGCTGGTCGTCTTACCCTCCCTCTACTGCTTCTTCTTCTTCTTCTTCTACTCTGTGTTTCTTCTAGTAAGCTTCTTCTTCTGCTTACACTTATTCTCTTTTCTTCTTCTATTTGAATTTTCATCTCCTCTCCTTCTTGGTTCTACTTCTTCTTCTTCTTTCCAGTTTCTCTTGCTTTCTTCTCTGGTTCTTCCTCTCCTTTTCTTCTATTCTCAATCTTCTCCAGTTCTCTGTCTCTTTCTTGTTTTGCTGAACCATATCTTTGTCTTTATGTTTATCTTGTAAATTGTAATTCCCCTACATTGTAATGGAATCACCTATTAATGGAATTAATGGTTAATTTTGGTTAGACATAAACTGGTTCGTGTTTGTAAGTTCAGCTTATATTCCTCACGTTGAGCAATTATAATTTATATTCCGCTTCCTGAGTTTATAATTGCTGGTTATTGGTTGAGTTAGTTGAAAATTGGGCTCCAACCATAACACTGTTCGTTGGTCCAATTGACGATCGATTGTAGGTTGCACTGGATATGTATGTGTGAACTCGTTTGGGGTTTTCCATTTTATGGATGGTTATTTCAGAAATTCTATTCTCTGAGTGGTAATTATCTCTCGTCTCCATAATTCTTTATCTTACAATAACGTACTTTGTTGTTTCATTAGGAAGAATCTTGAGGGATTTCTTTTTATGTGAAAGTGATGAACAATTTTGCGAATTCTCTTTCCTTTTTTATTTGTACGGCACCGAGAGTGATTATTCTATTGACATGAACTGAACAATCCCTTCTTAGAAGTCACAGAATTATGAATTCCCAAATCATGGATTGATCATTAACGGTTGTGTTTGATAGATTGCCCCTTGGAGTGAATCAATATTGGGGTTTTCTGTATGTACATTTGTTCTGTGAATTCTACGTGGGATTAATTTCTTAATTGTGTTTCTATTGAATATTGATGGGCTGTGATTTTTATTTTTATTTATTTTTATGTTTTTCGCTGTGATAGTGATCTCTTTGTTTTTGCTTTCTTTCTTCATAATTGAAGTTGATGAATTTTGAAGGATCTTTCTGTGGGTCTAATTGTTTTCTATGATGATCAATTTTGGGTTTCACTGGATTTGTTTGTGTGAGTCCTCCATGGATTGAACCTTAATGTAATTTGTGCCTTTTTGTGGATTTCTTTGTTTTTGCTCTGTCTTCATAATTGAAGTTGATGAATTTTGAAGGATCTTTCTGTGGGTCTTATTGTTTTGTATGATGATCATTTTTAGGATCAATTTTGGGTTTCACTGGATTTGTTTGTGTGTCCTCTGTGGATTGAAACTTAATGTAATTTGTGCCTTTTTGTTTTCGCTTTGTGGTTCCCTTCTCATTTTAAGTTTGATTATTTTAGAATTATGTTCTCAGAGTGACAGTTTTCCCTTTGTTTCTATAAGTCAATGGTCTTTATAATCACATACTTGTTGGTGCATTTGAATGAATTAGAAGGATCTTTTTTTCTTGATTTTGGAGTGATGATCAATATTGGGTTTAATTGGACTTGATTCTGTTAGTTATCTGTGTGTTGATTGTGGTTTTTTGTTATGTTTATAGTTCCTTTTTCCATTTCCATTTCCATTTCATGTATGGTTATTTCAGAAATTGTATTCATATAGTTATTTATTCCTATAATTTCATCTCTACGATTACACTCTTTGTATTGGGATGAATATTTAGAAGGATCTGTTCTGGATTTCATTTTCGGTCTAATTGATCATGAATTTGGGTTTCATTGGAGTTATTTCTGTGAATCCTATGGGCTTTTGCTCTTTAACATATTATGCTGCTAGTGTTGGATTAGTTTCTTTGGAACTCTAGTTTTGCTTTGAAGTCTTATAAATACCCTTCCATTTTTTTAGCCAGGATTCATAGCTAGAATCATTTATCTCGAATGATACTTTCAACCTAATGATGTACTCAATATTGCCGCCTATTCCGACATTCTAGACGAAGCGATGTGGATTTATGGACAATGCAAAAAGAATTAACAGAATTCAATTGCGGCAAAAAGAAAGGCCTTCGATTCGGCTCATTTCCTTCCAGTAAGTATTCTGTTAATCGTGACGGCATATATGGGGATGGTTGGGGAGTTGCCAGAACATTTAGCTTATGGCAAGTGGTTATTGACTGCTTCAAGACAAGTTTTTTAACCGTTCTCTGCATGCCCCCATTTCGTTTTTAATACTTGTTATCTCAGGATTAGTTTCCGTTTGGGTCAAAAAATTATATAATGAATCAAAAACCTCTGATTAGGCTCATTTCCTTCGAATAAGTGTTGTGTCAATAGCCAGCATACGGATTGGTGGGAAGTTCGATGCTATTTGCTGTTTCTCCTGAACGTTGCGGGGCTACAAACTATTCGGTATGATAATTAGTAGTTTACGTTTTCAAGCCTTTGCGCCTCCACTGATAATATTTTTAGTACATTACACTAACAAAGATATTGTGTGATTTATATTTGTATTTCTTAGTAGTTTGCATTTTCAAGCCTTCGTACCTCCACTGTGAGTACTTTTTTAACCTTTATCTACTAACAAAGACATTCTGTGATTCACATTTTTGTTTCTACAGCTGGAAACATGAAATATAATTTTAAAAAAATCATCTAGCGATTTCATGACATTGAGGATATTGTAATGAAAATATGTCTAATCCTGAAATGAATCTTTATAGCTTAAATAATAGGCATGGTAAATCCTTTGCATTCTACTTCTGTTTTCACTAAAATTACAATGAATACAATCTGGTGCTATTTTTTGTTATTTTTGCTCATGCTTGAAAAAATAAAATATCTGCTGTACTTTATCCATTCAAGAACTCAATCCGAGTTCTACGAAAAGCACCAGCTGCAAATAGCATCGTCGAACTTGAAGCGACTACTCTTTGCACTTGCCACTAAGATCATTTTATTTATTTTTCTCTCAATTCATAGTAATATTAGCCTTTCCTGATCAATGCATTTCATATTTGTAATTTCATTTTCTAGTCCAACATAGGTGTGAATCAAATAAATGATTAAGCGTGTCTCGCAAAATTTGGCTAGGATTCCTAAAATCCTAACTAAATGATCCTCATTTTTTCAATTTAGTAGTAGCTATAAGGAAAAATTACACTCAAATGGTGTTCCAATGAGATTGAGACTTGCCCGCTCGACTTTACCTTCATGATGAATATGCTTGAACAAAGTCGGGACCCCTCAAGCTTGATCTCTGCCATTAGCACCTCTTCCTTTGGATGAATTATGCTCAAAACAATATAATGGCAGCTCTTTCTTGCAATTTATTTGTGCAAGAATAGCTCTTTACCTTACGGAAGTGTCTCTCCAGCAGCTTGTTCTTTAAATATGAACTTAATAGTATAATCATAGTTAGCTTTTGAGCAAGCAAACGTCCTTACCCGTCAAACCAAGAGTAACAACAAAACATCTTAACTGGTCGTAACTAGTGATGAACTTGGAGCTTTAGATATAACCAAGAACTCTGTTAAAGGTTGGAGAACAAGAAATCCTGGATACATCCCTTCCCGTCTTTCGAGGGCATTCAAAACCTCCAGTTAGTTTCTTCCCCTGTTCATTTTTAGTTCTCATTGAAAATCTTAGGACGTTCAGCAAATAAACATTTCCCCAAAGTCCATATAAATTTCATCAAGTAAACTGTATGTTTATTACCTTTCTGCTGATGTTGTCTTGATGACCCGCTCTATCTATATCCCCTTAGTTTTCAAGGCTAAGTAAACGTTTTCGATGTAGCCCTGATTTGTGTACCTTATAGTCGAACCCTTTTTCTGTAGACTTTGACAAAAACGCCTTCTTTGTTAATTTGGAAAAGGTCCAGAATATAAATTGGGTTAGGAAGTGTAATGCAATAAATTCTTTTTTCTGCCCCCATTCATTTTCCTGGAGTTGAAGAGACTACTCTCCTTTGTTTGCTTCTCGCTAACGGTGTTTTTGGGACTCGGTCCAACGTACATTTCTCTACCAAACAACCAAACCAATCGATTCCAATCCACAAACATATATACACCTCGGTTGCTATTCAATCTTACTTACAAAGGATAAGAAACGGTGATGATTTGTAGTCACAAAGGTTAGAAGAAAACACTACATGGGAAGGCTATAATGGAACCCCAAATTACACGAAGTAGTCGATAGCTAAGGTGTAATCTTAAGCTTTTAATTGAACAAAAAGGAAAGGTAAATGGGCCAAGTTCTAGCCATCCAATGGGTGGAGCTCATGGATTTGGTTGTTGGACTTATTTCATTCATCGACCTATGAAATATATTATCCTATATTAACATCATAGCCCGAAATTATTTATTGGGTTATAAAAAAAATCCAACAAATCTCCACCTTGATCTGCAAGTAATCAAAAAACATACATTAGGATCACAAACCTTACCTCGTGTTTCCAACTTGAAACACATGCCATAACTACTCCATGTACTTATCGGGGCCAAGGTCAAGAACACCCAAGTTTAGCAGATATTCACAATAAACAATCAAGAGCAAATAAACATGCGATGACGATATAATATAGAATAACCACACGTTCACATAGAGCCACAACTTAACACCAAGTCATTCAAACACACTATAAATGACGCACTAAAAGATCTCAACACACACTTATCATATCTCATTCCGTGTTGCTCAAATCTTGAGAACACATATCTCCTCTCATTGTCCACCATGCTCACTAGACTGATCACTCAACTCATATCTAACTAGTAAACTACAATAGATTCTAAGTTCTCTAGATAATCCTTTATCACCACATCACTTCTCCCAACCTACGTAGATAATGGGTTTTCAGGGTCTCTTCATAGATAAAGGATTCTCGACATTTAATCACATCTTCACTCATAATCCAAATGTCACATTCCATATCTCCCAATACAAACCACAATATACCCTAGGCAAATAAACCTTACCAAAAGACATCCAACATACTGCTAATACATCATAATCCACTATGCATGTAAATAATTATACCAAGTATAAAATTCATGCAAATATACATACCAAACACATTGAAATGCAACATAAAGTCATGCAACAGGATTAGACAATCACACGCATACAGAAAGGATCACACACAGATGCACATACAATAACTAAGTTTACTCTCAATAAACCCTATTAGGCTCATCACTCGACCTGAAAGTCAAATTCGCCTTACCTCTCATCTAAGCCCTTTAACCTATCCTTCTTCTTGGGACAGTCCTTACTAAAGTTTTCGAACTTACTATAGCTATAACACCGTCTACCACTAGACTTGTCCTGTCCCTTGCCCTTCTTCTTACTATCCTCATCATTTGACTTACTACTCGAATGACAATATCCTGTCCCTTGCCCTTCATCCTATTCTTCATCATATCTATATCACCACTCCTATTATTTTCTTTTTCAGCCTCAATCTCCACCTATTTACTCCTAAGTGAGTATATGACAACATCGGGTGTTAAAGTGTCCTTACCATACTTAATTGCATTTTTAATCTCTCTATATGAATTAGGCATGGAATTAAGTAAGATAATAGCCTTATATGTTTCAGAGAACTTTTCATTACAATTAATAATGTCTTGAACTAATTTGTTAAAGACATCCAGATTGTCGTCAAGTATTAGGAGTGGACTTAAGCAAATATATCTGATACGTGTAAAATAATTGAAGTGTAAGCAAGTTCATCATACTCTTCTTTTTGTGCTTCTATTAAGGTCACAGGAAATTTACCATCTATAACTTTTGTTGAAATTTTTCGTGCAGATGCGAAGACAAGTCGTATGCCCCAAGAGGTTGAGGACGGGGTCTGTAATCCCAAAAGCATTCAAGAGAAGATCTAATGACGAGGTACTACTCGAGAGCTGCTATTCCGCTATGCTTTCTTGTTTCATGCCTTCTGGCTCTGCATAACATAACATCAACTGACAGACCTAGCTATATTGAAGAGAGTTTGGTTGGGAACCCTTCATCTTTTGTTGCAAAACTAAAAAATCTCCTTTCCCATTTAAAATTTCAATTTCAAAGTGTGGAGATATTTTTAATAAAATAGAACAACCAAATGCACATATGTCACACAAAGTGATTTTAAGGCCGCAATATACATCGTTTTAGATTCTCAATGTTTCTTGAGATCTACGATCTTAGATCAAGGAAATGTTCAAACGGACATCAAGGTGTTCAAACAAGATAATCAATGCAATACGAAGGTATGTAAACAAAGGTTCAAATTCTCACGCAATGCAGTCTCACACAGTGACTATATGATAGTTAAAGCATAAAATCAATTATTAACTTACAATCAAAATTCAGCACTTCAGATATGGCAAAAATAACTCCTAAATTTCTTGTGCTTGAATGTTCCCTCTTCACGGTAACCACAAACCTATTGTCACCCTCATACGATGATGCGCTAATGCTGAAATTTAAACTAGAATAAGCTAATATATCAGAGCGGACTAATCTGAGTCTGTAAATTATGAAAGACGCAAATTTATTACTTTAGGACCACCACTATTTGTCATAAAGTCTCTAGAACTACAACAACTAACAAACCACGATCGAGTCCCAAACGTTTGAAGAATAATTCTGTTCAGATTCTACTACCAACTTGATACAGAAGACTAACAACACCAAAATGTCAGAAATATCGTTACGAACAAACTGCTTGAAGAGACCGTTGTCAGAAAACTCGCCACACGCCCTCACGTACGGCCAATGTCTCTACCCGTAAGGGACTGCAACATGCGTCAGACCTTCAGAATCATCTCCACCTGCACATCACACAGTGGTCTCCGTTTCACCAAACTCCTTCTAGATTGGCTGAAAAATACGAAAAACAAAATCTGATTTTGATAGTTTTCTAGATAGTTTTATGATCCGATTTATGCTTCGTTTTCAGCTGACTTTCTAGACCTTTTTAGGTATATTTCACAAGTCAAAACCACCACCTTGAAGCTCTGAGAAGGCAGCCGAGTTCTCCTCAATTCACACACAAATCACACTACAAAATAACTATGGCTGTAATCTTATAAATAGTCTAAAAAGCTTTTAATTGGACCAAAAAGAAAGGTAAACAGACCAATATTCAAGCCATCCAAAAGGAAATACAATTGGACCAGGTGAAACTCATGGACTTCGTTGTTGGACTTATTTCATTCATTAGCCTAAGCCTATGAAATATATTATCCCACGTTAACATCATAGCTCGAGATTTATTGGGTATAAAAAAAAACCACAACAATTCTCCACCTTGATCTGCAAGCAATCAAAAACATACAGTTATCACTTGCATAATTGTGTGATAATGTAATTTGATCACAGACCTTACCTCATGTTTCCAACCTGAAACACATACCAGGGTGTGATAATGTAATTTGATCACAGACCTTACCTAGTGTTTCCAACTTGAAACACATACTAGGGCTCCATGTACTTACCGTGGCTAAGGTCAAGAACACCCAAGTAGAAGCAGATATTCACAGTAAACAATCAAGAGCGAATAAACGTCGATGACAATATAATATAAGATAACCCATAAGATCTTTTAAAAAACACGTTCACATAGAACCACAAATTAACCAAATCAATCAAACATGCAGTCAAACACATGCAAAAAAATGCATAATGACCTACTAAAAGATCTCAACACACTTATCCCATTCCGTGTTGCTCACACCTCGAGAACACATATCTCTTCTCATCGTTCACCATCTTCACTAGACTGATCACTCAACTTATTTCTAACTAGTAAACTACAATAGATCATAAGTTCTCGGGATAATCCTTTATCACAACATCACTTCTCCCAACCTATGTGGATAATGGACCTCTATCTAACATAAGTAATAGAAGTGCATCTCTTACACTCCGTCTGATCAGGGTCTCTTCATAGATAAAGGATTCTCGACATTTAATCACATCTCCACTCATGATCAAAATGTCACATTCCACATCTCCGATACAAACCACGATATATCCCTAGGCATCTAAACTCCACCTTATAAAAAGACAATACACTACTAATGCATCCTAACCCACCGTGCATACAAATAATTACACCAAGTAATCATATTGCCTTAAATTCATGCAAATGTACATATGTATCAAACACATTGAAATGCAACAGAATTAGACAAAAAGGATCATACACAGAGACACATGCAGTAACTAGGTTTACTCTCAATAAACCTCGCTAAGGTCATCACTCGACCCTAAAGCAAAATTCGCCTCACCTCTCATCTAAGCCCTTCAGCTTATCCTTCTTTTGGGACAGTTCCTAATAAAGTGTCCTAACTTACCATAGCTATAATACCATCTACCACTAGACTTGTCCCGTCCCTTGCACTTCTTCTTACTACTCTCATCACTCGAATCACTACTCAAATCACTACTATCTTGAGTTCTACCCAAATTCATTTGCTTAAACTTCATCCTACTCCTCATCATATGTATCTCACCACTTCTTCTCTTATCTTCTTTTTCAACCTTAATCTCTATTTCCTTACTCCTATGTGAGTCTATGAAAATTTCGGGAGTTAAAATTATCCCTACCATACTTAATTGCATTCTTAACCTCTCTATATGAATCGGACATGGAATTAAACAAGATAATAGAATTATATGTTTCAAAGACCTTTTCATCACAATTAACAATGTCTTGAACTAATTTGTTAAAGACATCCAGACTGTTGTGAAGATCCTTTGAATGATCCATTTTAAAGTTGAAAAAGCATTCAAGCAAGTACAGCTTATTAAAAGTGGACTTAAACAAATATAAGTCCTCTAACTTTTCCCAAATTCTTTTTTGTAGAATCAAGTTTTCCTACTTTTCTCAAAACATTATTAGATAGGTGTAAAATAATTGAAATGTAAGCAAGTGAACATCATACTCTTCTTTTGGTGCTTCCGTCAAGTTCACATGAAATTTGCCATCTATAACTTTTGAAACATTTTATTGAACCAAAATTCCCTTCATCTTTTGTTGCCAAATTGAAATATTCCATTTCTCATTGAATTCTAACGTCAAAATGTGAAGACATTTTTAAGAAAATAGAACTATTAAATGCATATATAGGTCATACAAAGTGATTTTAAGGCCGCAATATTCACCATTCTAGATTCCAGGGTTTTGTAAGATTCACGATCTTAGATAAAGGGAATGTTCAACCGAGTTTTGTAAGATTCACGAAGGCATGTAAACAATGGTTCGAATTCTCAAGCAATCTCACTCAGTGACTATGTCGTTAAAGCACAAAGCCCCCGTTTGAGCCCCATTATTTTTCATTACATTAAATTAATTTTTTCTCTCTCCTACTTTTAACCACACAATGTTCAATAAAATAATATTACACGTAAATCAAAAGCTTTTCAACAACTCATTTTTTAAAAAAAATACTATTCATCTCATTATAATCTACAAATAATGGGGCTCAAACAGTCCCAAAATCAATTACTAACTTGCAATCAAAATTCAACACTTCAAATGTGGCAAATGATTCCTAAATTTCTAGCACAAGCCATGTTACACTTTAATGGTAACTACAAACCTATTGTCACCCCTATACGATAACGCGCTAATATATCAGAGCGGACCAATTTGAGTTTGTAAATTATGGGAGATGTGAATTTATCACTTTATGACCACCGCTATTTTGTCCTAAAGTCTCTAGCAACTGCAGTAACCTACGATCAAATCTCGAACGTCTGAAGAACAACTCTATCCAAATTCTATTGCACAACCTGAAACAGAAAACTAACACCACCAAAATGTCAGAAATATCGTTAGGAACAAACTGCTTGAAGAGATTGTCGTCAGAAAACTCACTATGCTCCCTCACGTAGGCCCAATGTCTCTGCGCTTAAGGCCCCAGACTGACACACGCGTTGGACCTCCATAATCGCCTCCACCTATACGTCATACCAGTGATCTTTGTTTTACCAAACTCCTTCTAGATTGGTCGAAAAACATGAAAAACAGAGGCTGATTTAATAGTTTTCTGGACAGTTTGTCAATCCGATTTTTGGTTCATTTTCAACTGACTTTCTGGATTTTTTAGGTATATTTCACTAGCCAAAACTACTACCTTGAAGCTCTGATACCAAATTTTGCGGAAACTCACTCCAAAGATCTTCAAAACGGTGTTTTTGGGCTCAGTCCAGCGTACATTTTCTCTACCAAATAACAAAACCAACCAGCTCCAATCCACAAACAATATATTTACCTCGGTTCAATCTTACCCACAAAGGACAAGAAATGGTGATGATTTATAGTCACAAAGACAAGGAGAAAACACCACAAAGGTAGGTTATAAAGGAACCACAAATTACACAAAGTAATCAACCAATTTTGGACACCAAAGGTGCTATTTTTCTCACTTCAAAGAGGGCAGCTAAGTTCTCCTCAATTCAGACACAAATCACGCTACAAAATAGCTAGGTTGTAATCTTATAAGTCTAGGGATAGGCTTTTAGTTGGACCAAAAAGAATGGTAAACAGGTCAAGATTCAAGTCATCCAAGAGGGAATATAATTGAACCGAGTGGAGCTAATGAATTTGGTTGTTGGACTTATTTCATTCATCGGTTTAGGCCTATAAAATATATTATCCCATGTTAACATCATAATTCGGAATTTATTGGATATAAAAAAATCCAACATCCTTTAAAGATCTTTGTGTGTTTACTTAATTCCCTTTCTAAGCAATCAAGTACTGAATTATTTGGTTGTACTACCAGTGAAAATCATTAAATGTATTTTCCTAATTTGGTTTCTATTAATACTTTTAGCACGTGTGGACATTTAGCACTCCATCAACTTGTCGTGATTTAGAAGATCATTTAGAAGTCCAA